ATTTCCTATACCATTATCAACTAAGAAAATTAATAACTGCATAGGAATAATATGTAATTTTCAAGAAAAAACATTAATGGAATCAGGAGATATACCTATGGTTGTTTGTTACAGAATAGCTTATGCATTAAGTAATAGTAGTTTAAGTATGAATTATCAAAATCAAGAAAGAATATATACGCAAAAAATATTCAATGAAACCAGTACCATTATTAAAAATGATAGAATTCAAAAGGAATTCTTAAGAGAACATAGTAGACGATCATTTAGTAATCTAGGAAAACTTAGTGAAAATAATTTATTAAAAATTCAAGAAATTGAAGAACCTCATAGTAGTAATAGTTTATATAAAGGGGATATAGAAATAGAAAAATTAAATAAACAGGTAAATGAGTTAAGCTCATTAGTAATAAATCTAAATAATAAAATATAATTTGTAGTAATGGATAAGAAAGATATAAATCTTGAATTAACTGAATTATTACGAAGGGAAATCAAAGAAGCAGATTATTTAATAGAAAAATCAATTCAATATTCATATATAAACAAGGATGAACAAAAAATAAAACAGATAGAATATGATATACAAAAATATAAGAAAAAATTTAAGAAATTACATAGAATAGGACCACCTAAAACAATAATATAAATGGCTTTAAAGAAGAAAATATATAAGGTTAAAATATGGTATCAGAGCCTGGTAACAGGCAAAATAATTAATTAAATGCCACAAATAGATTGGTTAAATGCATTTTTAGCAAGACGTAAAACTCTTGAAAAGAAAATTACAAATACAGCACCGCATTCTGAAATACATGAAAAACATATAAATTATTGGAAAGATAAGCTTGAATGTATAAATTTAGCTATCCAAATTTTAGAAACAAACAATAGAACCTATTCAAGATTAGAAGAGCAATTTTTTGAAAAATGTTTAGATCCTTGGAGATACAAAGAATAGAGAAAATAAGATAAAAATGAGTACAATAAAAGTTTATTTGGACATAGAATGGGAAATTCAAAATATAAAAACAGATATAATAAGATATGCTTATTTACATGATATTACAAGTGAAGAATGTTATTATGACATGATAATGATATGTGAAAAACAATTAAAAAGATTAAGAGATTTACAAAAACAAGTAGTTGTTGCATAAAATAAAAATACTATATAGCAAATGGATATTATCTATAGCATAAATATAATTAGGGAGAAATTGCTAAGAGCACTCCAATGGGTGCCACCCTCGTGGGTGGCATCGAGTGAACCCTTGAATACCAACCTGCTAGCTTCCGTCAAACATCCATCTCTTTGGTCACTGTGAACAAGAATCAGCTAAGCTAATTGTTACGGGTCTACTGCAAAATAAATGGTTTTTGTCCAGATGTCTTTTGGCATTTATTTTGTATATTTCCCCAATCATTTTGTAGTCTTCATGAAAAGAAAAACAAGTGAGAGACGAGACAATAGGTAACATAGCTCATAGGTACAATAGCTCATAGACTTCATTTTGTATATTTCCCCAATCATCAATATTAAATTTTTTTTTTTCCGGTACAATCAATATCACTATTAAATTTCTAACTATCTATAAAAATACGTCCCTCGTCTCATCGAACTTCTTTGAACAAACTAAATTCATTTTTTTTTTTTTTCTAACAACCGTGGTTTAGTAGTACTTATCACCGCAATCAGTATAACATATCTCAGTGAACAACAGATCTCAGTGAATTGCAAAAAATAAAAATGCCTTGCTACTTAAATATTGTTAAGTTTTCCGAACATAGTCGTCCTGTTTTCACTAACCAACTAGTGTATACCCCGTGCGATGCACGGAAACAATATTAAATTAATAATATTATAAATAGACCTCGAGTTTGAGTCACTCAATGACGGAAGTGGAAATTACTATTGTTCCTATTTAAAAAGAGGAAGCAAAAAAAATAATTATAAATTAAAGAGGAGGATAAACAATACTTAATAATTATAAATTAAAGATTTGGGGTCAAACAATGTAAAATTATTGTGTATAAGAGAATATAAAAAAATTTGATTACACACCATTTCAAAATTATTATTATACTTTTTTGTATGGTTAACTTATAATATTTGTAAAAATATTAGTAATTAGACCGATGAAAATTAGCTTCTTAAAGTAGATAATGGATTTCCAGTAGTAATTATGAATTAGTTTCTATTTTATTTTATTTTTTCTTTTTAAAAATAATGGATTTCTAGTAATAATTATGAATTGGTTTCTATTTTATTTTATTTTTTTAAATCTGTATAGATAAGGGATGAGATTTTTTAAACACGTGAGATCGTATGCAATTGGATTTTGTAACAGAAGAGATAAACGTGTAGATTTATACTAAAAATAAGAAAAAGAAAAACAAATATTTATTGTCAAACAAAGGTTTTGATAAACTAAAAAAAATGAGCCGATTTTTTTGCCTATTCAGATTTGTCCAACAATTACTATATTAGGATATATTTAATGATTTTGGCGGAAAAAAGTTTCTAAATTTGTAAAAAAGTTATTCTTTTTATATAATGATATATTATGAAAAGAAATTCACTTGTTTATGTTGTGTATTAGTAACAAGCAAATTATGAAATGAAATTCACTTGTTTACGTTGTGTATTAGTAAAAAAAACAGACCATGACCAACAATAATTTTTATTTCTGAACCTCCATTTTCGAGTAATAGGCAAAAAATATCTAGCGTTTCACAAAAGTAGATAACAATAACCAATTCTACTCCAGTACCTCAAGATTTCAACATAAGTAAACGGTAGCCACTTCTACACTAATACCACAAGACTGCTCACAAAACCTAGGAGAATTCAACACCTAAACAGGCTCAAATGAAGTAAACCCGGCATTTGTCAGATGCCCGCTCATACGACGCAATCCTCTGGAGAGCCTGGAATTGGGCCTTTAAATAATCAGAGGGTTTAAGCTTAAAGTCAGGGCAAGTACGCAATTCAACCTTCTCCAGGACTTTAGCATTCCTCAAAACATAACAAACCATCTGAAACTCTTGCTTTGTACACATAAAACGTAGTAATCTTATAGATCTCAGACTTGACAACAAACATGAAGGCACTGCACGGGGCTCTATCCACCATTTCGAACAATTATCTAACTGAAGATGACACAATAAAAGGGAAAGTCAAGATAAAGAGGTGAAAAATAGATGATAATCCTATTGCTTTATATACTTAAACGCCTATGAAAATAATTTATTTAATATTTCTGTCTGCGCATCGCACGGGATTCGTACTAGTTATCCTAAAAAAGATCCTGAATCTTCATCGGTGCAAAGAATCAAGAATAAGGGAAGTAATATTTGCATACGTGGTGATCGTTGTTTAATTATAGAGCATATTGATCGAGAATTATTTGATCAGATATTTAATTATGGAAATCATTAACAGTATAGTATTGGGGGAAAAATTTGGAAAAATAATAATTAATGGCATGATTGGTATGTAGGAATAACATGATAATGGAATGATTAATTTCTATTCTCATGATTGATATATTTTTTAGAAGGGAATGGTTATTCTAATGGGAATTCCAAAACCCATGTATATGGGATTAGCCATTTCATAGCTAATAGATGGTTTTCTCATTCTAATATGTTTAAGAATCGATTTTTCAAAAATAAAATTAACAAATAATAATAACAAATAAATATATAATATATACTATATTAGCATGAGTAAATTATATAATACAAAATCATTTTTAAAAATAATTTTCAAATAAAAAATTAAAAAAATATTCTTATTTATTAGTCATATTTTAATTAGATATATTAAATACTTATATAAAAAAAACTCACAAAAAATATATTTATAAATAGTTTAGGAAAATATTATTTTATTTTATATAATCATATTTATTCATAAATTGAATTATATTATAAAAAAATATATTTGACCACACATGCTTGTAGAGGTTTATGTAATGATATATTTGTATTAGTTAATATGCATATAAATACATAATTCACTTATTTATTATATAAGATGGGTAACAATACAAAAGTATTTTTATTAAAATATAGTATATTTTAAAATATAAAATAATATTAGTATTATCATAAATAAGAAAAAATAACATTAATATAAATATTAATTTTTTACTATAAAATAGTAATAAATGATAATATAGGATGATAATGCCATCTAATTCCGGGTCTTATTCCTTCTACATACCAAACGCATCAGTGACAAAACTTGTTTCATTCCTTTTCCATAATCATTCATTCTTCAACTCATTTCATTCCTACCAAATTCTATTTCATTATATCAATCATGTAATAAATGTTTAATTAAAGGAATCTTCTAATATTTTAAGTAATTCATAGGTTAACCTAATTGTCAGCATTAACCTGGCATTCATATGTGGCAATACAAAGCATATATTTTTGTCATGTAAACATAAGAAACATGCTCAACACAAACACTTGAGTTTTGCCACCAAAAGTAGTATTTTTCAATTATTCTTCCTTATCTATACAAAATGTACGTTATGAAAATTTATTACATTGAATTATGAATAATTATTTATCTTATTAATATTTATTTATATTTTGTTATTTACTTATCATCCAACCGTAGAAATATCAACTAATTGTTACTTGTCTACAGCAAAATAAACGGTTTTATCCAGATGCCTTTTGTCGTTTATTTGGTAAATTTCCCCAATCATTTTGTAGACTTCACGAAAAGAAAACAAGAAAGACGAGACGATAATGTAATAGAAGAAATACTGAAACTTTAATTAGAATAAGTAGGCAAGTACCCTGCCCACAAGTCAGTTAGATTACTGAAGACATTAGCAAAAGGTAACATAGCTCATTAGAGTTCAACACAAAGTAGACAACAGTAACAACTTCTACACTAATACTTCAAGATTTCAACAAAAGTATATAACAGACTAATACCCTCACAAAACCTAGGAGGATTCAACACCTGAACAGCCTCAAATGAAGTCAACCCGGCATTTGTCAGATCCCCGCTCATATGATGCAATCTTCTGGAGAGCCTCAAATTGGTCCTCTATATAATCAGGGGTTTTAAGCTTAAAGTCAGGGCAAGTACACAATTCCACCCTCTCCAGGACTTTACCATTCCTCAAAACATAACCAACCATCTGTAACTCTTGCTCTGTACACATAAAGCATAGTAATCTGATAGATCTCAGACTTGACAACAAACATGAAGGCACTGCATGGGGCTCTATCCACCATTTCGAAAAATTATCCAACTGAGGATGACAAAATATAAGGGAAAAAGTCAGAATAAACAAGATTATCTGCTGGTAAAAACAAGTAGTATGAAAGACATACCGTACGGACTGTAAGTTTTTTGAGATTAACAGCATTTTCAAGAAAATACGGGATAAAGCGCCAATTAGTTTTCAATGTGACTTCGGACAAATTAGGAAACTTGACCATCACAGCAGAGAATACATCCTCAGAAAGCTGCAAGAGCAATAAGCATTCATTACCATATGTATGAATAAAAAGTAACAAAATAACTAAAAAAAAAAAAATCAACCACTTGCCTTAATCAACCCAGTTGCCAATTGCAAGCGCGTCACGTTGCAGAGACTGCCCAAAAATAGTAGGGAAGATTGCAAACAAGGCATAAACCGTCGAGGCGTACAACCGTGGCGTAAATGGACATCCGCTTCAGTTAAGGATGGCATCAAGTTGAATGAGACATCTCTGGATAAATTATCAAATATCCGGAGGAATCTGAGTGCCGGAGCATCTATCTTCAGCCTATACGTCGTCTCTCTGTGAGAAGAATCCCATAACGTTGTATTAAGGTAAAGCTTAATCAGAGTGGGTGAAGATATGCAACGATAAATACACGGAGGCACGTTTTCTGACACCAAGTTCAACTCCTCAAGCACCGGGCAACCGGACAGAAAGTTAGTGAGGCATACAGACTCATAACCAATATCAACAATCTGAAGCTTCTTAAGAGCAGGCAGACGCACGAAGACAAACATTGGAATTGGGCTGCATTCAAAGAGATTTAAATCCACAAGGGAGTCGTAGGTGAAAATGCAACGGGGCAGCCAATCTATATTATGGATACTGAGATAAATATGCTTTACGTTGCGTACAAGTGCAGTGGTAATGCAAGTCTCGAGCTGATACCCCCCACCACAATTTTTGTTGTAAATGAGGCGGAAATTATTCATGCCCTGCACTTTGTACTGGAGCATCACTCTGTAGATGATGTCCGAGAAGCTCTTGCCATCATCTAATTCTAGATCAGTATAGCAATCAAAATCTATATCAGGGACGTGTGCCCACAAATGCCTCCATCTCCTTGATAAGATGCTGGTCTGTACGGATCTCTTGGTGGGGAGAAAGGAGAGAATATGGTGGAGGATGGGATCCGGCAGGCTGCTCAGCCTGTCAAGTGAGTACATGTATCGGTTCCCCATTGTAACCTTAAGGCGCTTTCTAATTGATGACGGTTCTTTCTCCATCATAATACGAGTTTCTAGGTACAGAAAACAACAGATTACGGCTAACAAAGATTAAAAGTAAAGCAGGTGAGAAAACCTTGAAAAACAATTGGGATAGACTTTATGTGGGCTGTCTACTACAAGAACCCCTGCTGTAATTAAAAGGGTTTACAAGGAAGAAAACACGGATGCTTAATTGCGGAAAGGAAATGGATGAAAAAGAGGTTTTACCTGGATTTTTTAGCCGATAATATTTTCCCAACCGGCGCAAGGTGTGAGGACTACAGAGGGGGGCGAGTTAGATGGCGGCGGCGGGCGGAATTGGCGGCTAGGGTTTTAGTTTGGAAGGGGCGATAGTTGGCGGACTTGGGCAGCGTGAAGCTCCAGCGCGGCTGAAGGTTGAAAATCGAGTGAGGGAGTCGATCGACGGGACTGGCGGCGTGGCGGTGGGAATGTATTCAGTCTTGGTGGAGGGCAGCTGAAGGGTTGTGTTGTTTGGCTGTGCCGCTGAAGCACTGTGTCTAGTAAGAGAGAGGCGAGGGTGAATGGGAAGTGGAAAACGACAAAAGAAAATGAATTGTGGATTAACATTTTCGTTTTTTAAAACGACAAATTTATTAACTAAAACATATAATTATAACTGGCTTTGTTGGTATAAAAAATGGTATCAATCCAAAACTCCCATTCAGTGCTAATTATCGAGCGGTTATGCAAATAAAAAGTGATTCTTAGTAATTAACTGGTGCAAAAGAGGATGATAATGAGGTCGGAATTTATGTGATTGAGGTCGGATCACCAGTTCTTTTTTTAATGTTGTACTGAGTGAGCGAATATTTGTCTTGATTGCGATAAGCATGTATCTAATAGACTAAAACCTTTGTTGATTCATGCCAATTTGTCAATCCTAATTTGAATACAGAGGATCATTTGTGTCGATCTATCCAAACGTATAAGAGAAGCTGGTCGCCCAACTGAAATAGAATGTCTCATTCATCAAATGCATAACAGTCACATGTCCTTATGCATGCTTTGAATTTTTCTTCTCTAACATGTGTTCGGAAGACACTCCCTAAGGTGACATGACTCATTAGATGGCATGGTGATTTTTACCTTTTGATATCCTATAAATTGTACATCCTTTACTTAAAGAGGGGACTAGTTGTAAAACCCCTTTAGAGCAATTAATATCGCAATAAACACATTCACTCTACATCTTGTTGATGTACTCCCAATATCGCATGACACTTTATGTGATTACATCTAAATACTTCTTAAACACGCCTTAATTAAACCACATCTCTGAAAAATGTACATAGACGCATTTCACTCTATTGTTGATTTTAGGTTACAAAGCTAAACATCATTTTGGTATGTAAAGACCTTCGATCGGCTGGATTTGAGCTGTTTTACCTTCCTCGCCAGAGGATGACATTCAAAACCTATAAAAACTCAACACCAGACGGGTTTCCGACGTAGAGTCTCTGATGCTTAAGTCAAGACATGTATGATAGATGATGAACAATAACAATGTATGAGAGCTTTGTGAGTATTGAGAATGTAATGTTCTAATGGGCATACCTTACCCCTTATATAGCTAGGGAGGTGTTACTTTGTTGCCCAAGATTGTCCGGATAAGCTGTCCTATCTACCCCAAGTGCCAGTCCGTACTGCCCAATTAGGTCACGTGGTCCTTATCTTGATAATATTATTTCTTATCCATCAGTCTGCCTTATTAGACGGTCTAAATAATAATTGTGCAACTGAGTCAAATCACCTCGAGATAGAATGCTGCGTAGATAGATCTCACGTGTTGTCCTTCTGGTCAATCCATCGACCAGTTACGCTTTAGGTCGAGTTTCAACCAAGCCGCCAACGGGCCCTAACTCGACATGTTGGTGTCCCTTTGAACCCGTAACATCCTTCTTGACTTGAAGACTCATTATTTTGTAGCCACGTTCGACTTCCATTCGGCCTGCATGTGCTTATGTTCGACCAACCAGTTTTTCTAGCCTAGCCGACTGGTTTATGAAGTTTATTCCGGTGTTTTGTCCCATATCCCATTAAAATAAATGGGATGGCCAATCCATTAAAATTCATTTTCTAATGTAGTTTTCTTCCTAAAAAATCAAAAGTCGCTACAGTTCAAATTCAATCCAAGTGATCCACTGGGTAACTGTACCCTTGAAATATGAACCTGCGTTACGTAAAGCCGAATCACAATTATCCAACAAATCGAGTCCTCTTTCTTTCTTTGATGAAAGGACAACTTGATGTAATTAAAACCTAAAAGGTTAACATAAATATGAGCAATTCGAAGGGACGTAAACTAATAATATACATGTATACGTATTCATTTGCACAAAGCATGTTTATCCGCAAAAAGCCCCATCAAAACCAACATAGAGAGAAAAGCTAAGATGCTATTAGATGTAATAAATTCAGGTGTTGACTTAATTGTTAAGCGGGTCGACGTATAAACCATCATGCTTTTATAATACAAATGCATACTTAAGATATAAAATATCATAGATTTATTTTATACTCCCTCCATTTTGAAATATAAGGCGTATAAAGATTTCTCAATTTTTTTGAAATATAAGACGCGCTCACAAATCAAGACAAATTTTTACATTTTTTTCCAAATATAACCTCATTGTGTTGAAATTAAGGAAGTGTGGAGTGGTTGTGATTAGAGTAAATAAGGTTAATTTAGTCAATTTATTCATTAATTAATGTCTCCTTAATATTTGTGCAATAACCTTAAATGCCTTATATTTCAAAATGGAGGGAGTATTATTTTTCAAAATGTGACATTTTAGTTTGAAATGGTTCATAAATGTTCTTATATGGCCTAATTATTAGCCAATCATACATTCTTATTAAATATGTACTAATACCACCGAACATCCATAAATGTTGTTATATTCAAATTTGGGTAGAGACTCGTCTTCTCGTTAGATCTGACTAGAGTAAGTTCACAATTTTTTGATATGAGACTTAATTATGATCTGTTTGCTCTCTTTTAATTTTTTGGTTGGAGTTGATTGTATAATTTTAGTGTGGAGATGGATCCATCGGCCTAAAAGCATCTATTTATATAAGTTGTATTTTTCGCCACAACGTTTCAAGTACTTTGAACTCAACAAAATATTTAAAGCATAAATTAAATGAGTTAATTAATGCGCTTCTTCATGAAGTAAATTGAGCTGATTTAATTTAGTATTCACACTCAAACGTTGATAGAGATGCTGTCGCAGGAGAGATCAAATGAATGGAAATAAGCGTTAATCTTGTTGTCCGCCAATAGCTATTAATTTGTGCTCGTGAGTCGTGACTCGTGAATCGTGATATAACAAATGGAATATTTGCGCTTTACAATCCACTCGTACAGATTCTAATTTCCTATCACAGGTTTGTGAACGAGGATTATATTAATAATGTAATGTATAATTGATAAAACATAGCTAACAAATTAAAGTAGATAAAGCTGAAAAAGGTTCGGATGGCATTTGTTCGTGCATGTTACTCGGGAGAATTAAATTATGGTTTTTTTTTTTTATTTAATTATCGTTGGATTACGCATATTTACATACATAACTATATGTGTGGGTATTGATCTGACAATAGAAAAACATGTGATGTTACTGCCCACACTTTAGGTACGAATTTCCCGTTAATTAAATTATTTTTAAATTGAAAATTTAATAGATAATTTTTAGGAAAATCGAAGTCGTAATTAAATTTTTAAATTGATCAGGAATTTCATGTAATCCAAAAGACTGATTTCTTTTTTTACTATTCAAGTTATTCGCATGGCATATCACTATGTCAGCTATATGAAACTTATTGTGATTACTAATTATTAGTTAATATATAATTATATTTCATTGACAAGAATTATAAAAATTGCAGTTCATTATTGGAAAAATTAACCATCTCACGTTTTACGAACTGATTTGATTATGATAATCTGCAATTGAATTTTAAAAGGAATTAATTGAAATGAATTGAACAAACAAAGTTATTTTGGGTTAACTTTAATTGGATAAAGTGTGATAGAGAGTAAAAAGATTGTTTGATTAAAATAATGATTTAATTTTGAGTTTGTGAATGAATATATATGATACAAATGGTATTGATTGAAGTTAATATAATATAAAAAAGTAAAATAATTGTTGTAAATGATTGACTTGTTCCTTAATGAGTCAAGTTTGACTCGATTAGTAACTATAGATGCTTTGAATAAGATTGATAATGAGTCGAACCGAGCTAGAGCCTTAACAAACTAAGCTCAGCTCACAAAACGCCTGTTTAACATCTCTATATACTTTTTAACAAATTATAAATAATTATATTTAGAACTTCATATAAATTTATGAAATATCCCTTATTAGCAATTGGGATGATGTTTATATTTTAATTACTAGATATGATCATGAGTGTGAACGCTAGCATTACCAATAAAAAATAAAAAATAAGCCATCTCAACTTTTCAGGGCTTTAACAATGAAAAGAAATTGCATTTCGCTTCTAATCTTCTTTACATTAAAGGGAACTCCAATTACTTAGGATAAAATATAACTTTATATTATATGTCGATTTATATTCCTATTTCAATCCTTCAGCGACATTCCTCAAATAATAATACAAATATTATAAAGCTGAATGGTTTCCCACTGAGTGGGCCCCACTCTCAGTGTGTCAAAGGACAAAGGCTCAAAGCCTGTGGCCTGAGTTAGACGGTCAGTCATACCGCGTTGCCACGTCAGGTGAAACAAGTCAGAAATGAGGCAAAATCAGTCCACGTGTCAGTATTAATTAATACCCCTTTCATTATTATTAAAGGTCATCCTCTGGTCAGAATATTACACCCGTCAACTGATGCGTATGCCTGGCTCACCAAACATCACGTTGTTGTCACGTGATCGTCATTTTAATCCCAAGTTGTTCGGCTCGGTTTGAGGACCTGATGTGCCACGCTGCGTCGTACCGAGGGTCGGGCACACAACCTCGTCCCCAGCGCGTGCGCCTGCATCGCCACTAGATTTTGGCATATTGCTTTGACTCGTCAAACGTTTCAGAGGTTAACGCCGTTAGCCATTGACCATGGTTATTACAAGTTGCCAAATTGCATTAGCTAAAATCTAATTGTAACATATAAAACACATAATAACAACATTTGCCAAAAAAATTAGTTATAACCACGAGTGTTGGTACGAAATTCGGAAATTATCCCACTGTTTCTAAAAACTAACTAAAACAAATTAAAATATTAATTGTTGCGAATCTAACCAAACCAAATACAGATGTGATTTGAAAAGTTCTATAATATATATTGAATACTTAATCAAACCGTCTTATAGCTTACCAATACGATTTTTAAGATTTTACTTAGCGTCATCTATTACTGAAGGATCTTAAAATTTGTACTTAAATTCTGAGCATTTAATGGGTTATGTAGATACCCCTTCAACATACATAAACCATTTTATACACAAATAGTAGGCATTAAATTATATGAATAAAAATGTAAGATTTTAGTATGCATATATATGATTTTTAATTAAAATGTATAATTGTGTGGTCTAATAGCAACATTTGATTTTTTTCTTTATTCGTGGTTGTTCAATTAGTTAATAATAATTAGTTACTAATATTTAATCATATGCATATGCAGAAATGTAAATAAGATATTATAAATCACATGTATGAATATTTTATTTGAAATAATAATTTAAATAATAGACATTCATTTTATAGATTTGATCATTAACAAAAATAAATAATAAATTATAAATTTTAGAATTTTATATGAATCGCTATATAGATTGTACAAAATTTAATAAATAATATAAACTTTATAAATTTAAGGTATCGTGGCCAATTCATTAAATAAAAATACTAAAATTATTGTTATAGCAATTGTTAAAGAAATTTAAGTGGTTCTTTTTTATGACATTAAAATAAATTAGCTATTTAAAACATAATTGCTTAATGAGATCAACATTAATAAAATATATTAATTCTAACACAAATACCTTGAAGAAAAAATTTTGTCGTAAATTTTCTTATAATTGTTTAACTTTTAGTGTAAAATTATAATTAGATAATTTATTAGCAATTTTTATACGATAAATAGTTAAAATATAATATTACACTTAATTAAAACAAACTATAACAATTAGTTTTCATATTTAGATAAACAAAAATAAGCGAAAAATTTTTCAACTAGTATTAATTAAAATGTCTTTACACATATACATACAAAGGCTTATTCAAATAAAAATTAGTTCTTTCTGATGTGAGAATCGTATTTGATTCTCTATTTTTAATTGTGTGATTATATTTTAATATTATATATTGCTATTATCTTAACAAATATTGATATATATTGTATTGATATTTTTAATAAAATATAATCTAATCAAAATATCATTAAAACACAATCAATTATAACAGCATACAAATAAAAATAACGGTCCATAAAATTTGGTCCCGTTCGAACCTCATCATATACATAGAAAAAAAAAATCTTTATCAAACTCAAAACTCCTCTGCCTCAGCGCCGTATGTTAACCTCGTTATCTCGAAACAAAACCAAATCTGAGCTGGGAACAACCGAGAACATACATCGAACGTGTGGTCGGCGAAGATTCTATAACCGTTGCACAAACCGTGATAGCTGTCGTCAACAAATTCAAAACCGTACACGGGTAGTCAAGTAGTCAACCCACCATTACCGTCGCCGTTACCGTTAACCGCACCAAAGTTTCCACCCAGTTTTCCCTGTGGCAGGGTTGGCTACCTCTCTCTATATATATATTCACCAGCTTTCATTCCCTTATTCTTTCGACTCGAGCCGAAAAGATCCATTTTCTTACATTTAGCAGACCTAAAAAAATCGATTTTTCTTTATCTTTACTGTAAATTCCTGGAGTTTTGTGCCGTCTGGAAAAAATTTCAGGTACACATCTTTTTCGGACATGTTTCAATTTCTGGGATTTGTTTGAATGGTTGAAGCTTTTGTTTATTTTAATTACTTCATTAGATTTTATTTTGTGGTGGTTGTTGAAAATTAGAAACTAGAATCCGCAGCTTTAATTAGCTTATTTGGGGCTTTTCATTGACTTCGTGTCATTTTTTTTCTTCTTCACATTTTTCAATAATTAAGGAGACTTTAGACTTTAGAGTAGCCAAGACTCAACGGGTTGAATTTTTGCCAAGTTGAGAGAAATTTGGACAATAATTTCATTTTTTTTTCCTCATTTGCAATATTTATGAGAATGATGGCTCTTTGCAACTTCACTTGAGTTCTTCCAAGTTCCAAGTTGCAAGTGAATAGGAAAAAACTCAGGCAATATCGAACTTTCTGTTAATCAATATCGAACTTCCTGTTAATCTTTATGTTGTCTGGAAATGGTATGAAGTGCAACAGTGTTTTCATTCCTTTGAAGCTGTTATGCGATGTATGTCCTTTATGATGGTTTTGATTAGTTGTTGATTCGTGGTGGTTCTTAAACTAGTAATTCATGAAGAATTTAGGGCTTATTGTTCTTGGGGCATTCTGTTTCATGTCTGTCGCTATTGTGCTTGTGCTGCTATGTTATTGATATAACCATATAGTTCACATGTAGAAAATGAGTTTTTAAGAATTTCTAATTAGACGACCAAGCTGAACATGACTGGTGTAAAATGCTTGAGAACTTCATTTCTTGTGCAATTGTGTTGTGAGGATTGAAGTGCAACATATGCTGCACATAACTGTGTCATGCTGGCAATGCATCTTGTGTACGATGCTATATCCACGTCCCAACAACAAAAACTAATGTCGAAATACAAGCAATGATGCCTTTTGCTTAACTTAAGAATCATAGATTTCATTTGCAGAAAAAACCCTGTTTTTGCTTGTTAGTTTACCATCCATCCTTTCTATTTTGCAGGTTGTGAAATTTTTCTACACATATAGACCAGAAGAACATTTAGTCAAAGACCAAGAACTTGCTAACCGAAAACAGCCGATGCTCAGCATATAGTATGGACTCTCGTTATTTCGAATATAGTGTCTCGGGTACCGATTTATCCTACTCTTCACATCCTACGTTCTCCTCCATACCCACAAGGCTCTCCGAATCCTTAAAACTCGGTTTTAGAAACTCCCCCAATTCACCCTTCTCCACCCATTTCGAAACCGAGACTCTCACCGTATTGGCCGACACATTCGAACACCAAACTTCAACCGACAATCTTTCCGCCGCCACTCCTTCCTCTAACACTTCCCTTTATTCCCTCCCAAATGAAGACACCAATCACAACATAATAAGAAACCGTCTCCTCGAATTGGAAACTGCCCTTATGGCTCCGGACGCAGACGACGACATCACCACAACATCAGACCCAAGTCTAGGCGAAAACAGACAGTCTCAATCACGAACATGGGCCCGCGAAACGTCATACGCGTCCCACTCCCGCCAATCCGAATCACCCCGCGAATCGCCACATGGCAGCACCTCTTTCAATCCAGCCCGTCTACAGATGGTTCCCCCGAACAACCTCAAACAGCTCTTGATCGCATGCGCGCGGGCCCTCCACGAGAACAATCACGACGAATTCGAGCGACTAGTCGAGCGAGCCCGCTCCTCCGTGTCCATCAGTGGTGAGCCAATCCAGCGCCTGGGAGCTTACCTAGTCGAGAGCCTAGTCGCACGCAGAGAATCTTCCGGAACCAATATCTACCGGGCCCTCAAATGCAACCAGCCCGAAAGCAAGGACCTTCTCTCTTACATGCACATTCTCTACGAGGTCTGCCCTTACCTCAAATTCGGCTACATGGCCGCCAACGGAGCCATAGCCGAGGCCTGCAAGGGCGCGGACAAAATCCACATAGTCGATTTCCAGATTGCTCAGGGGACACAGTGGATAACTCTGCTTCAGGCCCTCGCGGCCCGGCCCGGCGGCCCGCCCCGTGTTCGTATCACCGGGATCGACGACCCGGTCTCGAAGTACGCGCGCGGGGACGGGCTGCCAGCTGTCGGGCGGCGCCTGGCGGCGGTTTCCGAGAAGTTCGGGATTCCGGTCGAGTTCATCCCGGTTCCGGTTTTCGCGCGCGACGTCACGCGTGCCATGCTGGACGTGAGGCCCGGGGAGGAGGAGGCGCTGGCGGTGAATTTCCCGCTGCAGCTGCACCACACGCCGGACGAGAGCGTTGACGTGGCGAACCCGAGAGACGGGCTTTTGAGGATGGTGAAGTCGCTGTGCCCGAGAGTGGTGACGCTGGTCGAGCAGGAGTCGAACACGAACACGGCCCCGTTCCTGCCGAGGTTTGTGGAGACGCTGGATTATTACTCGGCTATGTTCGAGTCGATTGATGTGACGATGGCGCGGGGTAGTAAGGAGAGGATAAATGTGGAGCAGCAGTGCCTGGCGAGGGATATTGTGAACATTGTGGCGTGTGAAGGGAAGGAGAGGGTCGAGAGGCATGAGTTGTTTGGGAAGTGGAGGCTGAGGCTTATGATGGCGGGTTTCCAGCAGTTTCCGCTGAGCTCGTATGTGAACTCGGTGATTAGGGGTTTGCTGAGGTGTTACTCGGAGCATTACACCTTGGTGGAGAAGGATGGGGCTATGCTGTTGGGGTGGAAGGAGAGGAATTTGGTGTCGGCGTCTGCTTGGCGCTGAAGGTGGTCCTGCAGTTGATGGGGGTGGTATAGATTTGTGAAAGATATACACTAAAAGAGGAGCCTAGTCCGTACCTCCTCGCGAACTCACTTTTTTTTTTTTTTTTTTTTTTTTATATTAAATATTTTATAATATGGTCGGACATGTTTTAAAATATACATAAGATTGAAAATATAAATTTGTGGTATTAAATTTTTTGCTAATAAAATAGTATGCTAGTATATCTGCAATCATATTATTATATCTGTTTGGAATAATTTTCCCTTTTTTTTTTCTTTTTTGTTTTTCTGCCAATTGGGCCTTAGTTTATCCGTATCGAAAGGCCGATAGTGGCTCAAGAGAACTCCCGTTCAACACTTCGCCATCCACAACTCTCCCAAAATGCTGAAAATAAATATAAAAATATCAATGTCCATGAATCCATCACAATAATAAATAAGTCAAAACATCCAAATAAAAATACCTATTGAACATATAAAAATACACTCATTTTTCGACCGATCATAAATTATTTGTACTATAATACATCTACAAAATTGTTTACAATCACAAATTTTTATATTACAACTTATCTGTTACTATAATACATCTACAAAATTTATTTTTTCATTGAAACAAAACTGGATCATGAAAAATTTCCCCATTATTTCATGATTTTTNTTTGCTGAAATTATGAAAATAATGTAGGTTGAACTATACATTATGTTTCTTTTCTAAATTTTCTTTCTCACAATCTTTAATTTTCAAGTTCTCATATATATAATTCTCGAATGTGCTAAGTTTAAATGTCAGACTCGCACGCTTTGAAATCCTATGTGCCAAAATTTTCATGCTTTGCTTGAATATATTTTAATTTATTTCAAATCCAAAAATAACTTCTAAATGTAGACTCTCACGTTTTATCCTATGTGGCAAATTCTCATGTCTTGTCATTTGGCTTGGATAAATTTTAATCTAATCACAATCTAAAAATAACTAGGTCTGAAATAACAATAAATACATTGAATATTTATGATCATTTTTAGGATCATTAATTATGTTTTAATAGCATTTTCTATTCTAAAAATGGTATATAAGCCATAGTTTTTCCTCAATCTTTCTCTTTTTCTTATTTTTTTTTTTAAAATTATAGAAAATTAGTAACTTAAATTAAAAATATATTTTAAAAGTTAACATTTTTGTATTCATTATAAATTTTCTATGTATAATATATCAAATTAATCATATTTTGATGAACTTCAGTTTGACATCTATATTGTACATACAAAATAAATAAATTACTATAGTTACCTTTACAATAAAAATTAAACTATCTATTACTATTAATCTATTATTTGAAAAATATATATAGTTTTTAAATTAATTTATCTACGAAATAGTTATATGATATAAGTTAAAAAATATTATTATATAAGATGAGTAAGTCGTGTAAGCGACGAGTGTCATTTTTTAATATAAATAATAATATAGTTTTTCCAAAAAGTAATTAAAATTCAAAATATTTTTTTCATTATTTTTTATTTTAAATAAAAAAAATTTAACAAGCATCCATATAATATACTGGTATTGTACTAGTTGTATATTATTGAATTATTTTGAGCCACGTGTAGTAAGTCCAAATTATCTCATATAAAGCAAAGAACTCTTAACACAAGCTTGTCATCATTTCTCTGATCCGTTTAGCAAATTCTAGCCTATTTTTCACTCAAGAAAAACGTTCATAGAGGACTTAATTGCGCCGAAAGGCACATTCGTGGTGCCGTGCAAGTTTGCCACAACAATACTGTACACCAAGTGACATTCGCCCCCAAGCTCGGGTCATTGTACAGAAAAATAAGTGACAGGTAAAAGGCCATGTCAAAATACTGTACACAGATGTGTTGAGTTCCTCGAATCGAACTATCCTTTTTAAAGCTCGTATTTAAAATTTTGTCCTAGTTTTATTAATTTCAAAAACTGGACCNTCCTATTATTGTTTTACTCGTACACATGTACGGATAATGTGAATTTGATTATACTAAACATTAAATAAAGTTTAAATTCAATAATATAATATAAATCGTTGTTATTGATTATGAAAATTTTCGTTGTGCGACATTATACATATCTGCCGATTGATCCTCCTGTCTGTAAGTATATCAATATCTTTAGTCTGGTTCTATCTGTATAACCATATTATTATTTTCTTTAGATTAGTCATTTTTTAAATCATTAGTTAATTAACTTGTTATGGTTGAAACTTATGATATGTTAAACTAATACATTACAATAACACACAACATAATAACCTCACAAAAGAAATCCACATAAAGTTATACACTGGATTCAGTTAATCAAATTCATCAATTAAGCAGAAAATAAAAATAAAAGTAAAAATATTATGCTCAGTGTTAAAAAAGAAATTCCCTATTAATTATTCACTTCGAATATTGCATCGAAGTTGCGAAATATCTTGAACATGAACTAAAAGGTCCAATAATCCTAATTTTTTTAATCAAATTCATTTTTCAACTCGAATCAAATCCAATTTTGAATTCAGTGAAAAACTGCACACGCACCAAGATGATCAAATTTCCCAGTGAAAAACCGTTGAAAAAACAGCTGTTGGAATCATCAAATTTCATCTAAAATTCCAATGAAAAAGTCATTTTAACGCAATATTTTCGTTGGAATTTCCATTGGAATCATTCTGACGGAAGCTATACCATTAGAATATCCGTTGGAATATATTATCGTAGGATTTTCCGTTGGAATATAACAATTTTTTGTAGTGTTAAAGTCTTTCAAAAGACAGAAATTCTATACATAGGTTCTATAAATAGCTCCAAGCCATATCCCATTTTTCCAAACACGCTTTAAGTCCATAGTTATATTTCCCATAATCTTTCCAAATTTAGGATGCCAATGAATCCATCGGCAACTCCTGCATCATCCAAGAATGTTTCTTTGGAGGATGTTCGTCGCTCTATAACATTTCACCCGACGGTTTGGGGAGACCATTTTCTCTCATATAATTCAGATACAACGGTACAACTATATATGCTCATATCGCTCATTTCTCAATAATTAATTATTTTTTCATAGCTAATTAATTTTAGGAACGTTTTTTTATTATTCGAGATGCATATACAATATATCAAGCATGCACGCGTACTGAATTTGGCAATGTCTAGGAAATTTCTGAAGCCGAAGATAAAGAACAGCTTGAAGGACAAAAAGAGAGAGTGAAAGATTTGTTAGTCCACACGCCAGACGATTCTTCGTGTAAGTTAGACCTTATCGATACAATCCAACGCCTTGGAGTGGGTTACCATTTTGAGAAAGAAATTGACAAATCACTGCAAAACATACATGGCGCTTGCATATTGGAGTACGACCACAAAGATGATGATCTACGTGTCGTTTCTCTTCGTTTTCGATTGCTAAGACAACAGGGATACAATGTCTCATGTAGTAAGTACTCATGAGTAAAATCTCTCTCTATGTTGATCAGAAGAAAAAAATTATAAGAATATATTGATAAATAAGCAATCCAATGATTGCAGATGTGTTCAACAAATTCATGGACGATAAAAGCAATTTAATACACTCATTTGAAGATGATATAGAAGGTATATTAAGTCTGTATGAAGCAGTGCATTTAGGTGTGCAAGGGGAGGACATTTTAGACAAAGCACTAGAGTTTTCGTCCTCTCATCTCGAGTCTTTGCTCCATAAGATGCCCAAACCTCTAGCAACAAAAGTTAGTGAAGCACTTAAGCTTCCAGTAAGCAAGAGTCTCAATAGATTGGCAGCCAAACAGTTCATTTCTATGTACAAGGAAGATGATTCACACAATCCACTACTACTTAGTTTTGCCAAATTGGATTTCAACATTTTACAAAAGATGCACCAAAAGGAGTTGAGTAGTATTACAAGGTTGGTGCAACAATGTGTATTATATATCAATGGACTTGAGTAATATTGTTTGCAATTTATGTTGATCTCATCATATGACGACAAAAGCACTGCAGGTGGTGGAAGGAATTGGACTTTGCAAATCGACTGCCTTTCGCGAGAGATAGATTGGTCGAATGCTACTTCTGGACATTGGCAATCTATTTTGAGCCCCAATTTAACCTCGCGAGAAAATTTCTAGTCAAAGTATTGTGCATAACTTCCATTATTGATGACATTTATGATATTCACGGGACGTTGGATGATCTACAACTTTTCACGGACGCCATTCAGAGGTCACATATTACATATATGATGCCTCTATGCTAGCTGCTCGTCATATATATCAAGTTGTTATCACATTATTGCTTACCCAATTATTTTTGTACTTAGTACTTCAATACTTTTCTTGTTTTGTTCTTCGTATTTAATTCTTTCCATATATGAGAACATGTTACAAAGCTCTTTTGGATGTTTATGCTGAAATGGAAGTCGAAACTGGGAATACTGGCACAACATACTTTATCCAATATGCAATAAACGAGGTATATATTACGGTTACGGCCGGCCGGCGGGATTTTTTTTTTTTACTTTTTAGAAAAAAATATCAAGAACAAAATTGTCTAGGCACGATAAATAGTAACACTCTTTATTTTATATTTATATGCTATCCATTTCCTGTAGGTGAAAAGATTGGTGAGGGCATACATGGAGGAAGCTAAATGGTTATACGCTAAGCATACGCCAAGAATGGAGGACTACATGAAGGTGGCACTCGTGTCTTGTGGTTATACAATGTTGTCAATAACATCATTTGTCGGTATGGGGGATTTAGTTAAGAAAGAGATATGCGATTGGGTCGTAAGCGAACCACGAATCGTGCAAGCATCATCAATAATATGTAGGCTAATGGATGACGTGGTAGGGTATGGGGTAAGTTTTAACACAAAACTCATATCTATATATATTTTTAACTCTTTATCTTAATAAAATTAGTGTAGATAAAATAAGAATGTACATATACAATATTTATTTAAAATAGCTTCATTTCTTTTTTTTTTTTTGGAAGAATGAATTGAAAATAACAGCTGTGGAATGTTACATGAAACAAAACGATGCATTAGAGGCGGAAGCTTTTGCAAGTTTTCGGGAAAAAGTGAAGAAGGCATGGAAGGATATGAATGAAGAATGCCTTCAACCAACACCACCACCTTCGCGAGTACTAATGAATGTTGTTAATCTTGCGCGTGTGATTAATCTTCTATATGTGGATGAAGATGGATATACCAATTCTAAAACCGAGACAAAATACTTTATAAACTGCGTACTCGTCGAGCCCGTGATAGTTTGAACGTGCATTCAACGAGTCGGAGTAATCAATTGCTAATTGAATTTGTGTGGATGGAATCTATATGCTTTGTGTGTGATGACGTGAATGTATGAGAAACACTTATTTAGTGCACGGATGTTAATTTAAAAAGTTTGAAAAAAAAATAAAAATGTCATTTGTTATTTTAAAATTTCAAACATTTCTTAAAAATTATAATGGTTTTTATATGAATTAATTAATATGCGATTGTCAAATCGAAGTTTTAATTAATATTATTAATGTTTTCTTATATATATAAGTTTTAAATACCTTTTAATCAAGAATTTCAATCTATTCCTCTTTACATGGATTAAAATAAAATATTAATTTTCTCCTGATAACTCAACTTTATTTTAGCAAGTTATTGCCTTAATGAAATCACAATATAAACGTTCTAATATTTACCAAATATAATAATAATCTCTATATATATATACTATTGCTAGCAAAGCAATTAACAAAAATATGTAAGTAATGCTACATTGTCAACCTAGTATACAACTAGGTTGACAATACAAGTGAAAACATTTAAAAAAAATAAAAATAAAAAAATACACAAGTGGATGTTTTTACTTATGTTGTCAACCTAGTTGTACACTAAGTTGGTAATGTATCATTACTCAAAATATTTTCGTTTCTCGCCAAAAGACGTTATAAATATATATTTTAATTTTTTTTAATTATATAAAAATTTGTAACGTCTTTTTACATTAATTGTATCTATATATATTAATAGACATACATTTTTTATATAAAATGTAAAAAAAAAAACTTATGATTGGAAAAAAATTGCAACACCCGTCATATTATATCCTTTTATTTGTTGGTAGCAAACTATAAAACTTACAATCAACATAATGATTTATATGCAATTAAATATTTATATACTTTTTATTTAATCAATAATCAATTCTGAAACATAATATTATTTAACTTATAATTGTAATATTGTATGCGTGGATATAAATTATAATACTTTATGTTTAAAATATAATATGGTCATCTAACTTATAAATATAATATTATGTGTATCTGTATAAATGCATATCAAATACTAGTAGAGATAATGAGACGCATTTCTTTCCTATCATTAATTTAATCATTGCTTTTATTCCATCCCAATATTTTATGTTCATTCCTTTAATTTTTTCTAGCACAAATGAGAGACACATTAGATCATTGCTTTCGTACCAAAATATATCTAGACGATTTCAATTACATTTATCATCAATATAAAAATCAATAATAACATTCCAAAACTATGATCATACACTGGGCGGCAAAGTTCTTTTTAGATGTAGTTATCAATCCATCATCATTATAGAGATTAAGATATAGATTTCTAACTATTCATCACTTTTAATTAATATTTTTTATCACATTATTATATTTTATTTAATAGCCATCATATTTCAAATTTTTCTTACCTTTTCTATTTTTTTTTTCACTTTTTATCAGTCTCATTTTTTAACCATAACCAATAAGCTGCATAATTGAGGTTTTGGTGGAGTTTTCATAAATTTCATTAGTAAGATAAAGTATGAAACAAAATTTCTGTAATAAATAAAATAAAATAAAAGGATAGACGAAAAAAATAAGTTATTATGGAATAAAATGAGTTAAAATTAAAAAAATGTGATTGAGTGTAGTTTTGGGTTGAATTTTGAGCTTGTGATTGGAGAGCAGTTAAAATGTAATGATTAAATTTGATAGGGGTGATTGGATTTGATTTTGAGTTAAAATATGTAAGTAGAGGTGAATGAATTTGATTGTTGGTTAAAATATGTGAGTGAATGTATAGTGAATTTTGTTGAAATTATGTGATAATGATTGATTGTCATTATTTAATTATTGATGATATTGAGGAAAATTAAATTGAGTTAAATTTGAGTGGTCGATTTTGGATTTGAATCCGAAATATAATTTAATATAATATTTTTTTATTTTATTTTTGGTCAAGATTTATGTCATTGAAGTTGAAATAATTATTTTAACTCATTGTTTATCTTAGCTTACTTTTTTTCCCTACAATTTCACTAACTCAATTAAAAATAAAAATAATTAGTATCATATATGTTCCATAGAGCTGTTAAATTAAATGAGTCATTCGTGAATTCGGCTTGTTAAGGCTTGAGCTCCGTTCACTTGTTTAATAAACGAGCTTATTTAAAGTTCGTTTAGTTAATGAACCAATCTAGAATGGGCTCGATAAGGATCGTTCAGGCTCAATAAGATGTTTCTTTTCTATGTATTTTTCTATAGTTTGGCTCATTAAGACTCGATCGGCTCGTTATTATTGATAAACGAGCCGGACTCGAACTCGATAATAAGTTCGTTAAGGCTCGAGCACCATGGGCTCGAGCTCGAATCGACTCGTTTACACCCATGTGTTCCATCACACAACACTATTCATCCACTCAAATAATTATATATACCAATTTTATTAATTAATATCTTATTATTTTTATATCAAATCATTAATTTTTTTTTTTTATCTCAAATTCAGTCATAATTTCAATGATATCACATTCTAATGTGTATATATATACATATATATTTATTTCACTTTTTCACCCCAAATATTTTTTAAGGAAAAATCTCATATCCAATCACGAACAAATAAATTCTATCATGATTCTTTATTGGAATAGAAACACACAGTTTGGGCTGTCTCAATATTTACACGTGAATGTCAACAAAAAAATGAAGTTTATGGGAAATATTCATTGTAGGCCTAGAATGGGCCTAGTCATCTTGCTCTCCTCCTCCGACCAATCCTTATCATGGACGCAAATAGATAGACATACTATAGTCCATTTTGATCAACCATTATTATAACATTTACTTTCAAATCTCATGTTATTATTATATTTATATAGTTTTCATTTCAATTACAAATAAACCAACTTTTATAGTTTATGTATGAGATTTTTTAGTTTTTTTGTTATTTATTTAAATTATAATATTTTTGGGTTTATTGTAGTTTATAAATGGTTTATGTATATTTTTATTTTTAGTGTCGTATTTTTAAAAAATAAATATAAAAATTATAGTGAAGATATAAAATAGTCAAAATTAATTAAGTGCTAAAATTAAGTTTAAATCAAATCAAAAGAAAACAAACAAGTTAACATACAACAAAACATCCCTGATCGATCTAATATATTTCAACATGAGTAAAATGCCCACTCTTTTATATATTGTACAGATGTAACACCATACATATTTATCACAATAAAACAGTATAATTCACAAATAAAAACAAAACATCAAACTAAACATCATCTTCTTCAGCAGTGTCTTAGATGTGTAATCAAAAGAATCCAAAAATTCCATCTGTGAACCAGGTGGATTGCGAAAGACTTTAATACCTATAAAGTCCGTCTCATACTATAACGATTGAATATACATTGGAAGTAATAAAAAGCTATCCAATTCCAAACTATGACGAATAATAATATTAATAATCCATCACCCGCCCCAATTTTGTCCACTAATCTTTCTTTGGAGGATTTTCGTCGATCAGTGTCATATCATCCCACCATTTGGGGAGATCATTTTCTTACATATGATGCAAATGTTATGGTAAGATTCTAATACTCTTTGGTTAATTTTTAAATACTAAGAGCATCTCCAATGCTCAACTTTCAACATTAATTAAATTTGAACACATGTCAATCAATGGATTAATGTTTACTCTACATGAAGTGAATGTTAAAAGAATAGGACTTTCATTTGAATTGTTGCCTCCAATGCATCCACTCAACAACCATACAATTTGTATATGTGGATTTATTCAATTATTAATAAAATCAAAGAGTATATTAGAAAAAAACCACAAATTCCAATAATTATATGCATGATGTTATTTTTTGTTGATTCAGTTAATTTTTATTTATATCATCAAATTTATAAAATTATTATTTATTCAATAATTTCTCAGTTACAATATGTATAACCACACAATAAATATTTTTTTAATTGGTTTAAAATAAAACAACAAAATATTAAAATTGCAAGAACTCAACAAACAAATATCATGAACATAATATTTTACTTTTAAGGACATTATTATTGATAAATTTTTTAAATTTTAGTTGTAACTCATCAAATAATTATACTGTATTCAAATAAATTCTCAAGTGTTTTATTGGATAAATGTAAGGGTGGGATTTTTCCAAGTTTATGAAAAGCTCAAAATTTGTGTCAAATAATTATCAAAATGATGAGTCATCATGTTAGAAAGAATGTGAGAAATTAGAAAGTGAGCTTGACAATGTTAACATTAATTTTTTACACATAAGCATGAAAGGACCCATAATGTAATGCATTGGAGGATATATTATTCACACACTTTCTATCTAGATTAGGTGGATAACTTTTTACCCTTTCAAAAGGGCATGATTGAATATAATTTCAACAGTAAATATCTCACTCAAAACTCAAATTTAACTCAATCTTAACTCAACTCTACTATCTCCAATATTATCAATATAATTAAATAATATTAACCAATCATTATTATACATCACATCAACTTTAATTCACTATTCATTCACTCACATAATTTTAACTAACTATCACTTCCAATCATTTTCTCCTACTTTTACATCAAATCAACTTTAATTATTTTAATTTAAATATTATTTCAATATATCCACTAACAACTAACCATACTACTTTTTTAAAACTTAACTATAGTTAAAAAAAAAAACTAGTTTTTTACTAGTTGAATTCATATCCAATCACCCCCTAACTCCATCTTGTTTAATTGTTGTTTTAGGTTAGACTGATCGAATTATTTGTCGCTTTAAACTACTATTGCAATTATCTTTGTACAGAACAAAAATTTATAATTTAAATTTACCATAAAATTAATCTTGATTCTCTAAGTAGGCAAAATTGTATTTTGTGTCCTGTAACTATGCGTGTGTGGCAAATGTGGACAGTTTCTTTTTTGTTTGGCAAAAGTGCCCCAAAACTTGTTAAAATCCGGAATTCGTGCCCAATTTACCTACAAGTTACCGGATTTGACCGATTTTTCGTATGGCAAAACATGACAGTAACTTGTTAAAATTCGAAACTTGTGCCCAAATTGGGCACGAATTTTGGGTTTTAACAAGTTTTAGGGTACTTTTGCCAAACCAAAAAGAAGTTGTCCACATTTGCCACACACCCATAGTTACAGGGCATAAAATGTAATTTTGGAGGAAATAGGAAAGAGATGCATAAATATATGATGTGGAAGATATAATAAATATAAAACATTTCGCGAGCACATGAACCATTACTTCTTTCTTTGGAGGATGTTCGTCGCTGTATAACATATCACCCAACTGTTTGGGGAGACCATTTTCTCGCATATAATTAGATACAACGGTACAACTATACTTTTTATCGCTCATTTTCTCAATTATTTATTTTTTCGGAGCTAATTTTTACATAGGAACGTTTTAAATTATTCGAGAT